AAGTCCAGCAACAGATGAGAGATGGCCTCACAAAGCTGGTCCAAGGGAAAGGGAAAAAATTTAGCCCATCTAAATCCTTTGAGAGTGCAGAAAGAGACCAATCAACCCATTGTGTGTCTTCTGGTGCTGGGTTTTTTTTTACCTTAATTTTGTTTGCCTGCTGTAATCTTTCCGTACTCCACCCTTGCTCCGAAAATCCCTGAGTTGATTGACTTGCTAGAGGTTATACCCCCAGCAGTGGGATCTAAAGAGATCAAACACAACAGCAATCAAAGGACAGCCTAGGAGGTCAAAGAGATTTGTTTAGAAACTGTGGAATGGTACCTTCGCTGAACAGAAATGGGGCTGCTTGCCCCAAGAAACGGGAAATAAGATCACACTGGAGTCTCTAGAAATTCAAAAAATTAATGTGCTGTGGGCAATCCTGCAGTGGAATCCTGAAGACGCTAAACAAATTCAATGTGTGAACCCAAACCACAGAAGGAAGCAAAACAAGCCTTGCATTTGTTTCACCCTTTTCATTGCCAATTGGGTGTTACAAAGTGCTTCATAGCCAATGAGGTAATTTTCAAGTGTGGCAACAGTTGTAATGTGGGAAACACAGAAGCTAATTTGTCCACAGCAGGATCTCACATGCAGCAACATGATTTTTTCTTTATTCATTCATGGGATGAGTGCATCGCTGACTAGGCAGCATCCCTAATTGCCCAGAGGGCAATTCAGAGTCAACCACATTGCTGTGGGTCTAGAGTCACATGTAGGCCAGACCACATAAGGATGGCAGTTTCCTTCCCTAAAGGGCATTAGCGAACCAGTTGGGTTTTCCCAACAATCGATAATGGGTTCATGGTCATTATTAGATTCTTAATTCCAGGTATTGTATTGAATTAAAATTCCACCATCTGCTCTGGTGGGATTCGAACCTGGGTCCCCAGAACATTATCGGGGTCTCTAGGTTAATAGTCCAGCGATAATACAACTAGGCCATTACCTCCCCCGTGGCACAGGCTGAACAGATAATCATGGGGTTTTCAGTGGTACTGACTGTAAAGATTGGACAGGATACTGGCGGGGGTGGGAGGTTTCAGTCCACCCCAACACTGTTTTTCTTTGAAATGGTCAACTCAATAGATGGGGCCGCAGTTTGATGTCTGAACCAAAAGCCAGCGAGTCACATGCTGAAATCCCAGATTTGAATCAGGAACCTTCCGTCATGGAAAGGACAGTGCTCCAATAAGCCGTCACTTACAGATGGGAAAGGGAATATTGGTTTGAATGATGAGGAGCTTGGTTAAACAGGCAGATTTTTAAGGGATTTCTTAAAGGTGGAAAAAGACTTATGGAGAGAGGTGTAAGGAGAATTAGGGTCTAGATTGCTAAAGGCATGGCTACCAGTAGGAGACTGATTAAAATTGTGGGATATTCAGGAGGCCAGAATTAGCTTTTGGAGGATCAAAGGAATGATAAACAAATAAAAGATGACACTGTTCTGATATTATCAATAAAATATGCTCACGACAAAGCATTGTCCCATTCTGTCGTCAGTACATTGTGGAAAATATGTTATTATGTGTGGCATGGACTGTGGGAGGGGAAAGGTCAAAGAAGGTCATTATGTAGGGAGTGAGAGGGAGAACTCCCCAACACTGAAAGGAAGGTTAATGTTCCACAGCTAATCAGTCAGTGTGGAGGCAATATTCAATTTTAATAAGAGACGAGACAATGGAAGGAAGCACAAGCAAAAGTACCTTTGAGTTTACAAAGGATCACCTGTTCAGTAAAGTTGTTCCAGGGGTTGTTGTAAGTTGCCCTTGCACTGTTTCGAAAGGAAATGGGTTATCTGATCACCTTATCATCTACACTGATCAAGGTGACACATTATAGCACTTTGACACCCATTAACAATTGACGCCCATTAACAACACAATGAGCTGCCAGCAATGTCAGGTGCAATCAGTGTCACAGGGTCAAATCCCACTCACAAAGTTTGAGGGCAAGGTTGCAGGCTAACGCTCCAAGGCAGTACAGAGGTGCCTCCTTTCAAAAGAGATGCTAAATTCAGGCTCAAGAGGGCCGATGATCTCTATTTCAAAGAAAACCAGCCAACACAAGAGGTCTACTACCATAGAAACATAGAAATAGGAACAGGAGGAGACCATTTGGCCTTTTGAGCCTGCTCCACCATTCAGTATGATCGAGTCTGATCACCCAAGTCAGTTCCCTTTTCCCACTTTCTCCCCATACCCTTTGATCCCTTTATCCCTAAGAGCTATATGTAACTCCATCTAGAAAATATTCAATGTTTTGGCCTTAGGTGCTTCCAGTGGTAGCAAATTCCACAGCTCCCCACTCTCTGGGTGAAGAAATTTCTCTTCATCTCAGTCCTAAATGTCCTACTCCATATCCTGAGCCTGTGACCCCTCATTCCAGACAATAGTCACTAGGAACATCCTTCCTGTATTTGCCCTGTCTATTCCTAGTTGAATTTTGTAGGTTCCTCTGCGATCCCTCTTCATTCTTCCAAGCTCCGGTGAATATCGTTCTAACTGATCCAGTCTCTCTTCATACATTAGTAATCCCAGGAATCAATCTGCCAAACCTTTAATGCACTCCCTCCACAGTCAGAACCTCCTTCCTCAGATAAAGAGACTAAAACTACACACAATGCCCCAGGTGCAGTCTCACCAAGGCCCTGTACAATTGCAGCTTGACATCTCTGCTCCTGTACTCAACCCTCTCCTATGAAGACCAACATATAATTTGCCTTCTTCATTACATGCTGCACCTGTACTTTCATTGATAGTAGGAACTGCAGATGCTGGAGAATCTGAGATAACAAGGTGTAGAGCTGGATGAACACAGCAGGCCAAGCAGCATCAGAGGAGCAGGAAAGCTTACGTTTCGGGTCTAGACCGTTCTTCAGAAATGGGGGAGGGGAAGGGGATTCTGAAATAAATAGGGAGGGAGGGGGAGGCGGATAGAAGATGGATAAAGGAGAAGATAGGTGGAGAGGAGAGTAAAAGTGAGTGTAGGTGTGGAGTTAGTGGGGGATAGGTCAGTCCAGGGAGGACGGACAGGTCAAGGGGACGGGATGAGGCTGGTAGGTAGGAGATGGGGGTGGGGCTTGAGGTGGGAGGAGGGGATAGGTGGGAGGAAGGACAGGTCAGGGAAGCAGGGACAAACTGGGCTGGTTTTGGGATGCGGTCGGTGGAGGGGAAATGTTGAAGCTTGTGACTTCACTGGCTCCACCCCTGTCTCTTTGACCTGTCTGTCTCCTCTCCACCTATCTTCTCCTTTATCCATCTTCTATCCGCCTCCCACTCTCTCCCTATTTATTACAGAATCCCCTTTCCCTCCCCCCTTTCTGAAGAAGGATCTAGACCCGAAACGTAAGCTTTCCTGCTCCTCTGATGCTGCTTGGCCGCTGTGTTCATCCAGCTCTACACATTGTTATCTTTGCTTACTTTCATTGACTGTTTTCTCTCTCTCTTGTTTTTAAAACAGTGGTGTTACACTAGCTACCCTCCAACCTATTCTAGAACGTGTAGAATCTTGGAAGATGACCACCAATGTATCCAGTGGTACTCTGGGACACAGATTACCATGCCCTATGAATTCATTGTTCTTTCATCCCATCAATTTCATCAGCATTTCCCTATGAATGCTGATTTCCCTCAGTTCCTCCTTCTCACTAGACCCTGTGTTACCCAGCATTTTTGTGTCCTCCTTTGTGAAGACAGACCAGGGTTTGTATTTCATTTGTCTCACATCTCTTTGCTCCCCATTATAACTTCCCTTGCCTTTGGCAACAGAATCACTGTGTTTCTTGGCAAATATTGATGGATGCAAATTTCTAACATGGTCATTGTATAAGTAACTTCATTGGCTGTAGAACACTTTCAGTTTCCAGGAATTTTGAATGGTGCTATACAAATGCAAGTTCTTTCTTTACTGTGCCAAGTGCTACATAAATGCAAGATGTCATTGTTAATCCTGGGACTTCCTGAACTCGTGACTCAGTGACCCACGAAGTTCCCATATTATTTATATCAAATCCTAAAATAACTCTTTCCAAACTTAATGTAAATTCAGATGGATTGAGTAATCTCTGGAGGAAATGACCAATTCTCCAGTCCAGCCTCCTTATAACCAGCTGACAGAAGATTATGAGGAAGTACAGATCCTCAAATACAGTGATTAAACACCACTCAAAATAATTTGTTGCTTTAAAAAAGACATACAAACAGTGAGCAGAAAATAATTACAGTGGGAAGTTCGTTCAAACTGAAGTTGCTTTACATTGTCATGTTAGCTGTGGAGGCCTTGTGTGCTGTTGTCTCAGATCACTGTCCTGGTTATCTAGTAAAGTGCTGATTTCGCACATAGCAAAACTTGCCGACTATTGGGATGTTTTTCAAAAAATGTTTGCACCAGTTTACGCATTGCTGCAGCAGCTTCTCATGTTGCCTTCACAGGATGTCAGGCGGGGTTCATGCAAAAGGGAATGTGGGGGGAGGTTATTGGTTCATTTGTTAATTTACAGACAGGAATAGGAGGAGGCCAGTCAGCTCCTTGAATCTGTTCCACCATTCAGTTGGATCATGACTGATTTGTATCTTAATTCAATTTACTTCCCTTGATTCCATATTGTTACTGAAATAACTCCACAGAGGCTAGTACCCCGTCACCAAGTCTCCCTTTATTTATGCGTGGAGAGTCCTTGACACTGATCCAGCTCCCTCAGAGCCAGCTCTCAGAGTGACAGGATATCTGACACTCCTATTTATTATCTGTCAGCCAGGGCTCCCTGATTGGACCAGATTAACAATCAGGGAACTCATTTTGTATTGAGATTGACCTTGTCACAAACACTAGTTACACAGTACACAAAAAAATTATTTATTTTTCCAATCAACCCGAAGCAGGTGGGACTCAAACTCAGGCCTCCAGGAGCAAGTGTAGGGACATTATCACTGTGCCACAAGAGGGCCCCTTCAAAAGAAAACATGGAATGTTTCAGGAATTTATGTGTCATCCTTACACAGGAGCCATGCTCATCTTCTTTGTATTGTTCCAATTTTAGTATTTGAGCTGCAGAAGTGCTTTACACAGTATGATCCTCAACCTTTAACGCTCGAATTAACACCAGGCCTTGGCTGCCTTTATAGGAGACAGGATTCCAGATTATCAACAACTTTTTGTCTGTAGAGATGTTTCCTGTTCACCCTCCTCTGAACAGTCTCTAGTTTCAAGGTTACTGTCTCTTGCTCTGTACTTCTTTCACCAGAGCTTTCCTGCTCAATCGAATCCTTAACCCTAATAAAATACCTCAACGACAACATTCTCTTTTCTTATAAGGAGGTCAATTAACTGGGATGGCTGGATTGTGATGCAGAGTGATGCCAACAACTTGGTTTCAATTCTTGCACTGGCTGCAGTTACCATGAAGGACTCTCTTTCTCAACCTCTCCCCTCACCTCAGGTTAAACCACCATCTGTCATGTCTCTCTCTCTCTCTCACTCTGCCTGAAATGAGGGAGTAGCCCCCTAAATAGTAGGACTCTGGTAAATTTACCGTTTTTATTGTTTTAAACACAAGGGATTACATTACTTGTCCATAAAAATTACTCTTATAATTTAATCCTTTTTTGGTCCAAAATTGCCTCTCATTGTGTGAAGTGAACCCTGAACATATTTTTCTGTGACAGAGCACAATGGGGATATTGTGCCAACTTTTACATTTTATTTCAAAAATATATTTTATCCATAAAAAAATCTTTAAAGATATACATAGTCACTGAAGCAGTTCAGTTCTGTACAGTAGCATATCAAGGACATTGAAGTTTGACTCTATCCAGCAAACAGACCGTAGGCATCTCTTACTTGTTCAAAACTATACTTACATATATTTGAGGCTCTGGAATGGTCTGATAATGGACCCCCATTTACCTTCAGCAGGAAGACCTCAGACAGTGGTCTTTCCCCACTGGGCCTTGCTGGCAGCTGCCCCAAGCTTTAGTGCATCCCTCAGCATGTAGTCCTGGACATTGGAATGTGCCAGTCTGCAACACTTGGTCAGGGTCAACTCCTTGTTCTGGAAGACCAACAAGGCTTGGGAAGACCAAAGAGCGTCATTCACTGAGTTGATGGTCCTCCAAGTGCATTCAACATTTACCTCGGTGTGTGTCCCAGGGAGCAGACCATAGAGTACAGAGTCCTGTGTCATGGACCTGCTCGGGATGAACCTCAACAAAAACCCGTGCATCTTTCTCCAGACTTCCTTTGCAAAGCTACATTCCAACGGGAGATGTATGACAGTCTCAACGCCCTCAGCAACCACTTTGAGGGCAGTGTGCGGTGTTGCGGACCAACTGGGTGTACATGAAGGATCTCACAGGTAGCGCCCTTCTCGCCACCAGCCAAGAGTTGTCTTTGTGCTTGTTGGAAAGTTCTGGTGATCAGGCATCCTCTAGATAGTCCTGACTGCAGGAAGCTAGGCTGAAGGCAAAGGGCGCGGACACATAGACAATGGCAAATCCCCTTTTGGCTAACTCCCAAGTCAATGTTTTAAGGGAAAGAGCAGGAGGTTCAGAGGGGATTTGATGAAACAATTATTTTTGTCCAGATGATGGCAGGCACAGGGGCGAGGGGGTGCATCTGGAACTCATTGCTAAAAGGGTGGTAGAGGCCAGCAACCATTAAGACATTTAGGATTCAGAAGAATTTAGATGAGCACTTGACATGCCATAGCACACAATGCTACAGGCCAAATGCTGGGAGATGGGAATAGAATCGATAGATGCTTGATGATTAGCACAGACATGATGGGCTGACCCTTTTCCATGTTGTATTAAAACTCTATGACAATGGCACAGAGATTAGAGGAAAGTCAATTCCCAATATAGTTACAACACACCCGAGCTCGAGGTGTGGAAAAAACAAGATTGAATCTTTTTTTTGCTGTAACTTGCAAAGTTTACTTTAGCTGCCAGGAGGAAGTGAATAATTAGGTTACTTTCTGTATGAAGCAGAAGTGATTGTGACACATATCCATTGAATCTGGAAGTTACTGTATTTCTTCAAGCTCGCAGCTAAATTCTTGCTCAAACTTGTCTGGGCGGGTGGGAGGGGGTGTTGTTGGATTATTTCAGTAAGATTTTTAAGTAGGGTGATACCTGTATGCCATGGTTACCCTGTACCATCAATCTTCACAAAACTTATATTTCTCACAGGCCTTCCATCAGCTTTGTAACAAAACATCAGGGCATCACTTTTTTTATTCACTCACGGGACATGGCTGTCTCCATCTGGGTCAGCATGTATTGTCCATCCCTAATTGCCCTTGAGAAGGTAGTGGTGAGCTGCCTTCTAGAACTGCTGCAGTCCATTCTTAACTATATCTATCTACCTGTCTTTCTATCTATATCTCTATTTAATCTATCTCTCTACCCTGCCACTTTTTAATCTCTCAGTCTCTTGAAACTATCACTTTAACATATCTCTATTTATCCACTTAACTGATCAATCTATATTGATTCAATTTTTCTAACTCTTATTTTTTCTATCTCTTTTTAATATTTCTGTCTCTATCCAATCTCTTCATCTATCTAATTAATCCATCTATCTCTCCATCTAAGCTTTCACTTTATTTCGCAACTTCCACTAAATCTATCTCTCTGTTCAATCCATCTGATCAATCTACCTTTCCGTTTTCAATGTATCTATGTCTCTATCTTTTCTCTCTCTCTTCAAATCAATCTAGTTATCTTTCAATCTCTACCTTTTAAAAACAATCTAATTTATCTATTTCTCTATTCTATGTACTTCCCCTTGCTTTTGATATTTCAGTCTATGCCATTACTGTCTACTCAATCTATATCCTGTTTTGGATCTCTTTTATCATATCAGTTAATTTATGTTTGTCTCTATTTGACCTATCTATCTATCTACGTCTATTAATTGGCTTCTAACTTCGTCTTTCTTTTCAACTGCTTATAAATCTCTGTCTATCTCCTGTTCATCTCTTGTATCCATTTACCTATTGATGTATCTGGATCTTTGCTTCTATGCCTATACTGATTTATTTCTCTATAGCTCTAGCCATGAATCTCTCATTCTATTTTTCTTTCTCTCCACCATGGCTGAGAGGTGATGCAAACAATGTGGCTTCAGTTCCCACACCAGCTGAGGATACCACGAAGATGTTGTCTCCTTGACCTCACCCCTTGCCTGAGGCGCAGTGACCCTCAGGTTAAACTCACTACGAGTCATTTCTCTCTCTCTCTCATTTGTCATTACCCCAATTAAAACTCACCCTATCACCAATGCTACTCAGATCAGGTTTATCAGATTATTTATCAGAATAGTGTTGGGAGGAATTTACTGTGTTCAAATTGCCAACACAGCAGTATTGATCGCAGTTTACAGATGGATTGTGTGATATCCTGAGAGTGTGCAGTGTGCTAAATAAATGCAAGCTTTGTGTGACACAGAGACATAGAAACCAGGAACAGGAATAGGCCATTCGTCCCATTGAACATGCTCCACCATTCAACATGGCCGATTCTCTGTCTCAATGCCACAGTCCTTCTTTTTCCCTACATTCCTTGATGCCCTTAAAAATCTATAACTTTATCTGTCTCTTTCTTGAATATATTCAGTGATGTGGCCTCCACAGCCTCCTGTGATAGAGAATTCCAAAGGTTCACTGCCCTTCGTGTGAAGGACGGTTTCCATATCTCAGTCCTGGGTGGTCTACCCTGTACTCTGAGACTGTGTCTCCTGGTTCTAGACTCACCCCAACTAGGGAAAATATCTTCCCTGTGTCTCATCTGTCCCTGTTGAAATTTTATGGATTTCAATCAGATCTCCTCTCATCCTGGTAGAGTTTTTTTTAAAAAAAAACTGATAAAACATTGAATTAAAAACAAGTCTTTGTAACGGTGACAACGAAAAGTCTATTTTTTGCTGTTAAAACTCACCTAATTCATTAACCCCCTTTAGAGAAGGAAGCCATCATCCTTTGCTTGTCTGGCTTATTCTCCAGACCCACGACAGTACGACTGACTCTTAACTGTCCTCTGAAATACCCTCGGTTTGGATAAGGACAGGTAGGGATGGTGACAAATGCTGGTCTCGCCCACATCCCATGGCAAAGAAAGTAACTAAAAAAGGACCTTGGTTAGCTATAAAATACATCGTGGCATGCTGCAGTCATGAAAGATGCTACACAAATGCAAAATGTAACACCTTTGAGGCCCAGGGTCATGTACACAGCTGAAAGAAGAAAAAAAAGCAGAAGACCACAATCATCTAACCAAGTCGCTAAATAAACCTCACAGTGCAACCGAAGTATTACTCAACTCACTGAGAGGAAAGAAGGTAAGACTCGATGCACTTGAAGGTGGTGTGTGATTTGGAGATGATGCTCTTTGTATGTAGTTTGTGGGTGAATGCATGTGCTGACACAGCGGAAGATAGTCTGTGCAGCTGCCACATCATAAAGACCTCCATTTCCTGATGGTATGAACAAACATCACATTCCCTCCCCAACAAGAAGACAGAGATTGTGCTGTGTGAGTGTGTGCGTGTGTGAGCTTCTCTCCAGGCTCTGTGGGTTTCCCTCACTTTCTTTTTCCCCAAACGGTAAATTTAGCCAACGCACACTCACCTTTCTACCACTCAACCACCACAACGACTCATATTTACATCGTAGCTTTAACATAGTAGAAATGTCACCAATGTACTGCCTACCTCCAGCTATCTGACACTATTTAACAACAGGACGCAGAAAGGACATATTAGGAAAGGTGACCAAAGCCGTGGGTAAAGAAGTAGGTTCTTAGGAGCACCTTAGATAGGAAAGATCGAGATAGACACAGAGTGAGAGAGAGAAAGCCAGAGAGAGTGTGCCACAAAGAGATAGAGAGACAGACAGATAGAGCGAAAGAGAGAGACAGAGACAGAGAGAGCCAGAGAGAGAGAGAGAAAGCCAGAGAGAGAGAGAGACAGACAGAGAGATAGAGAGAGAGACAGAGAGACAGAGACAGAGAAAGCCAGAGAGAGTGTGTCAGAGAAAGAGAGAAAGGGAGAGAGATAAATAG